CGTGTACACAGGCTCTAAGGATCTGAGGACTCCACTTGCACAGAAAGAACTCAGCCACTGAGCCACCTTCCAAAGCCCTGATCTGTTCTCTGTTTTCAAGCAAATGTGGGCTTCTGAGCCGACCTACCCATTTAGAATGACATTTACTGTAAGAGAGCGGTGAAGGAGCTCAAGGGAATCAGAGGTTTTGGGGAGGGAAATGGATTTAGAGTATGTCTCAAAGCGGCAGCTCTCAACCTGTGGGGCATGACCCTTTCACAGGGACCTACGACCATCTGCATTACAATCCATAACAGTAGCAAGATTATAGTTATGACGTAGCAACGAAATAATTGTATTTTGAAGCTCACAACATGAGAAATTGTATTAAGGGGTCACAACATTAGTTAGGAAGGTTGAGAACCATTCTAAAGGCTGTCAGAGCTGTGATACCCCAGAAACATGAGGACAGAATGGACCTGGATTCTACAGCACAGTTCGATGGGTGATCCTTCAGTCAGGGTCCTAAAGCCTCCCACCTCTCCTTCCCAGTGGGCAGAAAAGAGGACAAAGTGTCTTAAGGGCAGCTTATGTTTAGATGACATGGTGCTGATATGAATACCTGGTATAGCCACCTCAAACTCAGTTGATGGTAAACTTGTAGGGAGCCTCGAGTCAGCTACTCGTAGCTGATACCAGAAATATGGGGACCCTCAAAGTAAACAGTGATGTACTCTGTCATGTAACTAACTATTCCTTGCAGACTGTCACTTTTAAGCATTCTATATAAGCCTGGTGTTGGTGATGCACGCCTTTAATCCCAACACTTGGGAGGCAGAGGCAGGTGGATCTCTGTGAGTTCGAGGACAGCCTCCAAAACAATACAGGGAAACTCTGTCTCGGAAAACCAAAAAAAAAAAAAAAAAAAAACTGTATAACTAATGACCTTGAGGTGGGGGAGGGGCTGTCTTCACCTTTTGTGTTCGTCAGTCTGTTTGTCAGCCGGTGTGCAGTCCCTGGGTGCCAGAGTGTGCCTGCTGGCATCAACCCCCTAGCAGCCTGGATGCCAGCAAATGAATGCCTTATCTGCTTGTGACGCCTCGGTTCTCTTCAGCTTCCTGGCCTCATGTACTTCTCCTCTCTTCCTGGTATTGGAGCTTGGACATCACACACAAAAAAGGTCCCTGACAGACTGCCCCAGATCTGGTTCACCCCAGTGTGCCCCGGGATAGTCAGGGCCCAGGCAGACTGGAGTTACACTGGAGGACTTGCCTCGGCTGCGCTCCCTTCTGGTTCTCTAGCGTCCTGTGACAGGTCCTAAGGTCCTGGAGGAGCGCAGGCCTTAGTCCCTCTGGGATCCTCACTCTTCGGAGCTGACTTAGGCACAGGCTAACGCACCATTTCACTCGATGCTTGTGAACTGAAACGCACGGCTCCAAAATGGCTGCCACTCCTGGTGGAGAAGGAGAGCCGTGAAGGAAAGCAGGAATGCACTCCCAACGGCCTGCTTCTGCCACTCACGGTAACGTGACTGCTGTGCTAACGTCAGTGAATCTGTTTGCTCATCTGTAAAATGGTGCCCGCTTCCCTGCAATGCACGGTGCTCCCAGGAAGATAGCAAGCGGTGGACCGGTGTTTGGTTTGTTACAAAGTAACTGCTGTCAGGTTTCTTAGTTTTCTTGAGCCGGGCAGTGGTGGCGCACGCCTTTAATCCCAGCACTTGGGAGGCAGAGGCAGGCGGATCTCTGTGAGTTTGAGGCCGGGCTGGACTGACAGCCTCCAAAACAATACAGAGAAACCGTCTGTCTCCTAAAACAAAACAAAACAAAAAAACAAAACTGTTGGGGTACCCCGAATTGAGGAGGGGTCTCCAAGCAAGATTCGTCACCCCAAGAATCAAGAGTCCACACGCCAATTGATGCAACACGCAAGAGGCTTTAATTAGGCATCTGCAGATGGGCCTCTCGGTCAGCTTTTAGACCGATTGGCCCCGAGGTTCAGTTACAATCAGCTTTTAAAGACAAAAACCACAAGCTTTTGGAAGGGGTCCCTATCTCGTGACGGGGGAAGGGGGTACGAAACTCCTGTCCCGGGGAAGTAGGTGTCTTCCTGACCTACATGTTGTAAATTCCTCAAACCTTGGCATGAGTTAATTATATCTCCCTAAGTAAATAGTGTTATCTCCTTGTTTCCCACTAGTCTTGTCTGCCCATCTCTGACGCCCTGGTCAGTTCTTCACAGATGGCAGCCCATAATTGGCTTTTTGTGGATTTACAGCCCTTCTGCAATTAAGGTCTCTAAACCATACATTCCATTCTGTGGTATGGCCGGTTCCTGGGATGGGGTCCTTTGTTCACTTCCCAAGTTCTCTAGTGGGGTGCCCTCCCTGTTTAAGCTTAAATTTTATTTCTATAAATTCGGGGTCTTACAAAAACAAAACAAAAAAACAATAATTTGCTAACCCACTCGCTGTGTGGGTCTCTAAAACATGTATTTAAATGTCTTGTTTTGTATAAAACAACAAAAAAGCTCATTTATTTTTTTATGGTGGAATTTCATCTTTGAACTGCTTTAAAATGTTCTTTGTAAACATATGACCAAGTATCTTTTCTTTGCTTTAAAAAAAAATGAAGGGAAGCATTCTTTTTGGTTTAAGAACAGTTACCGCTGAAGTTTGGAGGCCCAGACTTTTGGATCTGGAGGAGGCTAATGTGCAGAGGAGGCCACCACTGCAACCTGGTTTCCCATGGAGGTTCCCGGGAAGATGCGCCCCACTAGGTTACGGGCGATGCTGTTTTTCTTACCTTTCCTAATCCACGGTAGGGGTGGAGGAGCTCACTTACTCTTTAGGTAGTCTCTGTACTTTCTAAACAAACGTGAGGCCATGATGCCACTCACCTGTCCTGTCCTTACACAACAAACAGGAACACACATTGTGAAGTGAACGAGTATGTTCAGGTTCCTAGCCCTCCTGAACCAGCTCTCTTTAACTGCCTTCCCTGTTAGTTACTTTTATTTAACTCTAGCCAAATACTAGGGGAAAGCAACTAAGGATGGAAAGGTTTTACATGACTCACAGTTTTGCTAAGTTCAGTCCATCATAGTCAGCTTGGTTGTTTCTGAGCGTGTGCGGGGAAGTGTGTAGCAGGGCATGTGCAGGGAAGTGTGTAGCGGGGTGTGTGTGGGGAAGTGTGTAGCAGGAGCGTGTGCGGGGAAGTGTGTAGCAGGGCATGTGCAGGGAAGTGTGTAGCGGGGTGTGTGTGGGGAAGTGTGTAGCAGGAGCGTGTGCGGGGAAGTGTGTAGCAGGAGCGTGTGTGGGGAAGTGTTAGCAGGGGCATGTGCGGGGAAGTGTGTAGCAGGGCGTGTGCGGGGAAGTGTGTAGCAGGAGCGTGTGGAAAGCAAAGAAGACTGAAGAGGCAGACAGGAACAAGATCTCTCCCAAGGACCTGCCCCAGGAACCTGTTTCCTTCAGATACCATCTAAGGTTTCCAGAACTTCTCAAAATAGACTACCATCTAAAGATAAAGTCCCAACACATGCACCTTTCCCAAGGGAGACAGTCTATCTCCGAACCATAACTCTGTCTCTGTCTACCTCTGCATTGGGTTTTGAAGGTCGGTGCAGAAACAGGCCTACCCAGAAGGGTGGAGTCCCTGGACAAGTATGCACATGTCACTGAGCATACTTCTCCCTCGCTCACTATCACAGAAAGTGATGTTATGAATTATGAGGCAATAATTGGGTGTATTTGACTCAGCTCAGAAATTTGTCTTGCCAGAGTATATTTACTTAGAAGCTATCCAATTAGCTGGGCGTTCTGTGGCACACACCTTTAATCTCAGAACTCGGGAGGCAGAGGCAGGGGGATCTCTGTGAGTTCAAGGCCAGCCTGGTCTACAGAGCAAGTTCCAGGACAGCCTTTAAACAATACAGAGAAATCCTATCTCGGAAAAAAAAAACAAAAACAAAAACAGAAGCTATCCAATTAACAAACAAACAGACAAACAAAAAACATCAAAACTAAATGTGAGGGAGAGATACTTGAACAAAGGGCCTTTTCTTCCCGAGGCTGTCATGGACTATCACAGCTTCAGGTCTCTTCTGGAAATGTTGTTCCCAGGCAGAGAATGTGGGGGTGGGAGGGGAAGGAGACGTTCTTGTAGCAGAAGCAGAAAACACCAGACTGTCCTCTGGCAATGGACCTTCCCTCCCACCCAGAAGAGGCCTCCCGGAAGGGTAGCTAGTCATCTGGAGGTCAATGGAGCGCCCAATGTGGTCTCTCCCAGCTGTTGCCGTCAGCCTTATCATAGCACTCATCTTAGTGAGTCCGACCCGCCCAGGTGTTGGAGACTATTTTTCCTGAAGCTAGAGCAAGCCTCGAGAGTCTGTGACCCTTGAAAGGAATGTGCTCCCAGCCTCGGGGAACTCGGAGTTCCCACTTGCTCTTTTGGAATTATTTCACCTCCCATCTGTGGGCTGAATCATCAAAATAAGTTCAAATGTTGAAATAAAATTATTGACTTATTTCCCTGAGAACTGAAGAGCCCAGGAACAAAGGGACATCTTTAAATATGTGAATTTAATGTGTGGAATGAACGAAAGCCCCCTGTTCCAGACAGATAGGTCAGCTGGCAGCACTTAGTTAAAAAGAGAAGTACAGTCCGTACTTTGTTTTTTAAAGGAGCAGTTTGTTGGCTGTGAGTTCTAGTCCAGTGAGGAACAAAGGTGGCTGTGAAGGAATTGGTTGGTGCCTTCAAATACTTTGCCCCTTACTAACTGGAAAGCTAAGGACCACTGTTGTCTTTCTGCTTAAAAGTGTACGAAATTCTGAACTCGTCCAAGAAGCACAGGAGGAAAATACCACAGGAGAGGAAGGCATTGATAAAAGCATCTAAAACCCATCTAGTTTCACCATCAATAAAGCCATCAGACTTCATGATAAGTCTTCTGTTGCTATGGTGAGACACCATGATCACGGCAACTCTTACAAGGAAAGCATTTCATTGAGAGGGCTCACTTACTGTTTCCGAGGTTCGGTCCACGGTCCTCACGGCAGGGAGCACGGCAGCGTGCAGGCGGACACAGTGCTGGAGGAGTAGCTGAGAGTCCCGCACCTTGCAGGCAACAGAAGTTCACTGAAGGTAAGATCAGAAGTGAGCTAGGCACAAAATCAGGTCTGTACTCAGTCATGGCTTTCAAGTTCTACCATAACCACCTGCGAAGTTCTGCTTACAGGGTTTTCCTAGGACTTCTCTAGCCTGCATCGCCAAACACTTCCAAATTTCTCCTGCAAGTCAGTTGCAAAGACCTATAGACCACATAATCAAGACCTTGAAGGAATGGTACAAATTAAAGAGCGTAAGTGGATGTTTGGAGTGACTTACGGAAAAGACAAAGGCACGCCCTGCCTTGGGGCCCAGTGATATCACTTGTGGCTTTGGGGGACTCAGACTGGCTCTCCCTGTGACCCAGGGTGTGCTTTTCAAAGATACATCCCACCACACTAGATTTGGGAGCCGCCTCTTTCTGAGGCTGGTCACGTGGTCGCCTGGTTCTTTGATGGATTTCCCCTGCTCACCCCGGGAATGATTTTCAATGGAGTCACATAAGCAGGGGGCACCAAAGGCAAATTCCTAACTGTGAAGTCAACAGGGTAATTAGCTGCTTCTAATGTGCAGTGGCATAAGACAAACATTCACAGGGGCAAGAATGAGGCCGTCCCAAGGAGGAACTGGACCAAAGCAAGACTGAAACCCAGCAGGGAAAACATTAAGTCTCACAACTCAATGTCCAGTTTCTACGGCTCAGGTCTAGGCTGTCTCAGCATCCTTTGCATCCTATATGACCACAAAGCAGGCATCTTCTGTTCCTGCATCTCCAAGACCCTGGCATCTCTGTGGCAACCTGGGTACCACTCTCACAGATGCACATAAAAGCTTCTCGGGTATCTCTTGTGGAGGACCCACCCATGCTTTCTCCAAAACCTTGGTGGAAGCCTCCAGGACCCCGTCACTCAGACTCTGCATGTCCACAGAATCAGTTACCGTGTGGATGGTGACAAGTTCCACTGTCAGCTCAGGGAGTGGCTGAGCCTCCTTGGACGATGGGACTGTAGCAGCTTTTTAGGTGTCTGAGTGGCTGAGCATGGGAAAATAATTCCCTTGGTGGATCTTCTTTAGCAGGGTGTTGGGAATTCTGTCTTTTCAAAGAAAAATCTTGTAAATGGGTTTTCAGTTTTACATCACAGAGCCTGCAGCACATGGGATCTTGCCAGTTACGAAAAGCCCCCAGCCACCTTTTCTATTTTCCCACCAAAATTACTTGGCATAAGTCTCTTTCACAATCAAGGCCTCTTAGTTTCCAGCTTCAAAAACAAGCTTCCTTCCTGACAAACAATATGGCTGCTGCTATTGTTTCATCTTTCTGTTTTACTTTCTGATCCCAATTCTCACTGTAAACCTGGCTAAAAGTGGCCAGTAATAACCATGCCACTGATTGAATGCTGCGCTAACTTGAAATTTCCTCCTCAATTTCACTAGTCCATTACTTCTAAATTAAATTTCACTCAAATTCTCATAATATAGATGGAACCTAGGCAAATTATTTGCAGAGTATAGCACGCATTTCCTGTCTAATTCCCATCTGAAACCTCAGGAGTCTGTCATTCATTGTCTAAGCATTCTGGTTTTCTGAAGTTCTACCAGAATCATCTACTAAATTCTGCTTGCAGGGTTGTTCTGGGACTTGTCCAGCCCACATCATCAAACACTTCAGAATTTCTTCTGCAAGTCAGCACAGTCAGGTTTCGGTCACAGCTTTTGCATTTTAAAAGAGGAAAGTTTCACTTTGCCTCAAGGTTTCTGAAAGTCCAGTTCACTGCTGTAGAGATCACATGTAGGGTCACTCAATTCGTGGTGTCAGAAGAGCACAGCATGTCACAGCAGACCAGCAAATTAAACGTGAGTCAAGAACCAGGGACTGGGTAAAACCTTCGAAGACCTACCAGGAGAATCTATTTCTGCCAACTAGGCCCCACTTGCCAGTTTCCAGAATCACGGGTTATGGGCTAGTCGTTCAAAATATGTGGGGGAACGTTTCAGATCCAAACTGTAAAATATTTCTTGGAATTCTGAATGACAAAAAAAAACCCTCCTTAATTTGTGTCCCAGACACACACACACACACACACACACACAAAAAAAAAAATTCACAACAATGACCTAGAACCAGTGCCAGGCGGCTTTGATGTGGAGTTTTACTTGTCTAGGCTCATTGTATTGGGAATTTCCCAAAAAAATGTTTTCCTGAGAATTTTTGTCTTTCCACAGATGTCTTCCAGTACAATGAATCCTTTTTGTTTTTAAGTTGATGGATGAAGAGTGATGTCACAATAATACATTCAGGATGCTTTTCCTTAACAACACAGTGTTATAACCGTTTGGACTAAAATGCAGAAGAAAACGGTAATGGGTAGTTTGTCATATTTCATGACAATAGAAAACAGTGGTCAAGGTCAAAGTGTGCAATAACTTCACACAAGGCTTTGCCTCCCACTGAGGATGAAGCCTCCAACACACAAACCTCTATCTGACACCCAAATCAACCAAAACAGGTTTGTGTAGTTTGGCCTCAGGGATCCCATCTTTGATAGCTTACCATCTTTCCTTTCCACAATAAGTTCTGTCCTTCAATGATTCTGCTGTGTGTACTCACTATAATTTCATGTGATGATGTCTACGAGTGCTGAAAGTCAGATAGTAGAAGGTATGGTTAAATGCGGTTACTCTGGGGGCACACGTGGGACCTGTTAGGAAACATGTCTTTTTAGCAATTTGGTCCCCAGGAACCAAGTACAGCTGGATGCAGAGACCTTAGTGTTTGTAGCTGTTGATTTATTTTGGAAGAAGGAAGTAAGTCAAGTGTTCCCTCTAGTAGAATGTACATGTCCTGTGTTCCTTCATCTCGAGATCCAGATTGACAATACCAATGGAGTTTGCAGCCTTGATATGGTCACTTACAGAGAAACAATCACAACATTGCTCAAGTTACAGCATGGGGAACACATTTGGCTGCAATGGGACAAAAGAGTACCAAATGGACAAAATACTATGTAGAAAATATTTAAAATTGCTTTACACTCCATCAACACATAGTAACCTACACAAGAGGCTCCAAAACATGTAAAACCATGATTGACTAATCAGACAAGAATCTGAGAGTAGCCTAGTCATCTTAACAATCACAGACCTAAGCATGTCCTTCCAAAGTTGTTGAAGTAAAATGTGATCAAAAGCTTTCCTGGATGTTAAGAGGACACATAAAAGAAGAGAAAGAGGGAAAAAAACAATTTATACAAAAAATAATATTTTGCTATAAAAAGATCTGCTTGAAACCCAGATATGATAGCCAACATCTATAGTCAAAGCATCATCGGGAGACCAAGGCAAACTGATCACGGGTTTGAGGCCAGCTTGCCCTATAGAATAAGATCGTGTCTCATTAAAAAAAGAAGCGTTCTTGGAAAAGAGCTCCAGGCTCCTGGGAAGCCCTGACTTCCCAGCCTCCTTTCCTTCCTTGTGCGTGTGCAGAGAACTCTCTGATGCTCCTTTGGACCCCAGACCGCTCGTGCTTTCCCCCTGCCGGGGCCTTGTCCTGACTGGCCTGGCTGTTGATAGCCTTGGGAACAGTCACACGGCCAAAGCAAATGTTCATCAAACCAGCAGGAACATCAAGCCCACTCTGCTTGTTAACCCCGCCTTTTCACTCACACCCAAGAAGAATTTCTCAAGAAAGCTTCATTTTCTCCTTCTCTGGGACTCCTTTAACTTGAAGTTTCCAGTTTCATAAAAACATTTAATAATTAACAACATTTGTTGATTTCTTGTTGACCACAAAGAACCAAGAAAAGTTTTATAAAACACTTAAGAAATTAGTAGACATTTACTTACAGTAAACACAACTAGCTGAAATGCCTAATTTCTCAGATGTCAAATCCTAGATGACAGAACAGAGACTGCTCTCGTAATAGAGGGAATCAAACAAACAAGTATTTTACTATGGTAGGGCTGTCCTGAACACTACAACTCTCTGATCACATCCTAATCGTACTGTGAGGATGTCTATATTTCTATAAAGGTTGGTTTTTGTTCCATTTTTAAGCAGATGAGGCACAGAGTGGCAAGACATTTAACCAAAATCCAGAGCCAATCACTGGCAAAAGTAATAAATAATAAAAGAAATAAATGCCTTCAGAGTCACGTGTTTCTCCTTCACACACTTGGCATTGTTCCCCTTAGATTGAGAGACAGGATGAACTGTGTCATTCTCCCGCCATCAGTCCTTGCCCGGCCTCGAACTCACAGAGATCGGCCTGCCTCTGCCTCCTGAGTGCTGGGATTAAAGGCGTGAGCCACCACCGCCCGGCCTAAATCTTATATTTTTAGTGTGATCTTACTCAGAAAAAAAAACTTTCTGCAGGCGTAATAAAGTTAACTACCTTAAAATGAACTCATCCTTGGGAGCGTGGAGGGGCTAAGTCCAATAACTAGCATCTTTGTAAGAGAAGAGGAAATAGATGTGAAATCTCAGAATGGAAAGCTGTGTGAAGACAAAGGGCTATGTAAACCTAGGTCAAAGCACATAGAGTTTCCAGATTCTACCAGAAGCTAGGAGGCAGGCATGCAATGGATTCTACCTCAGAACTTCCAAAGTGACCTCGCCATGGCAGCACCTTGATTTTGGACTTCTGGCCTTCCCAACTCTAAGGGAATACATTTCTGTCATTTTTAAGCCATGAAGTTGTAGTAGCTTTAGTATAACTGTGGTCCAAGGAACTCGTTCAGACTGTCAAAGTGAGAGCATTCTCTACAAAGACACAGACATAGAAGAGACGGGAAGGGATGCAAACATAGGAGATTTTAGAGTGTGCTACCTAAAGCAGAATGAAAACATTGTCCCCTGAAGAGGGGGCTTCCTACAGCCTGTGGACAAGCCCTGGGACTCCTGCATCTGGATTTAGTCCTGAATGGCTCAGCTCCAACAATGTGTTTTGCCTCAGAGCTGCTAATCTATTCAGTTTCCTCCACTTAATGGTTATTGATTGACAAAGGTGGGAGCCAATCCCTGGGCAAGTACGATCTCTACAGACACTACTTCTAGGATTATTATTCTCTAATAAGTGAGAAAAATCTATCATAGTTATAGTTTTGTGAACACCCTGAGGATATAAGCTTTCCACAGCTGATGTTATGGTCACTGGAGATGATTACCACTGATCAAAAATAACTCCCTCCGTGGTTGTTGGTGGACCTGAAACTTTTATTCGTCTATTTTTACAGGCAGTCTCTGAGTTAAGTTGCTCTCAGAATGAAGCCATCATCAGCCATGGTCATAATACTCCACGGGGAGCAGCTCCTCAGTGATTTATTGAGAAATGAGAGGAAGGAGAAACGCTACAGCCAAGATGGAAGGAGACACAGCTGGGGGACTTGGGTGCTAGGCAGCAGCAACAGCTTGAGGAATTGACTCACACAAAGATAGTGAAGACTAAGAGCAAGCCATTCTGATATCTAACTCTTTTTGTATTGGTTTTCCAAGCTCCAGCGTGGCTATTGATTAAATCCCATGTAGAACTTAGTAGAGACAGAATGCCCAGTTTGTGGATGTCAGTGGTGCAGGGTGAACGGTGCCAACACTCAAAACAGAAGATAACTTAGGGAGTCAGGCTGCGGCTGGCGTTTGATTAGGAATAAGGGGAAGGCAACCACCCCATGTCCTTCACCTGCTGGGTGAAGCTACCATGAGACATTAGTGCTAAGAGTTCCATGTAACCTTGCTGAAAAGAGGCCATGGCCAACAAGGGCTCCCCAGAACCCTGACTGCCCCAAGATCCACCCATGGGTCAGGGATTTGTCAAAGAAGGGACAGTGTGCCATTTTGTAGAGAACAGGACCCAGCCACACAGACCTTTCCCTTTCTTGGGGGGAAGAGTGCATCTGGTTTTGAGGAAAAACACCAGGAGTTTGAGAGAAAGGTTGGAAAAATGTTTTGGCTTGTGTGCCGAGATGTTACAGGTCCTTTCCAGGGAGAAAAAGCAAGCAGCACATCCTCCATGAAACCTTTTTGGGTTTGGGGGGCACAGATCAACATAGACAGTGAAATCTAGGGCAGAGAGCTAAATGAAGAGAATTAAGAACAATTCAAATTCTGTTGTCATTGCTGTTGCTTCCATACAACCCAGTTTTCCCATGGGACAGCTTCTGGTCTCCGCCCACCCCAACTTCCCCACATGGAGCATAGACAGTCAGCATGAAGGAGTCCAGATGGAAAAACCAACAGGGGAGTTCGTTATTCATCACCCCAGGCAAGAAGAATAAGCTTGCTTAATCCAGTCCCCTTAGAATTGCACATTCTGCCCATTTTTCATCATTTGCGGATAAATATCTCTGGTCAGCCTAAGGAAACCCAAGCTAACTGCTATATTTTCCAGTTCACATTTTCAGCTATGGACATAACTTTGGAAGAGCAGCTTACATCCTTTTAGCTCTCTCACTCCATCTCAGATTTTTAAAAAAATGTATTAAGGAATCGAAGCCAAGTGAGGCAGAGTTCAGGACTGGAGAGAAAAACACTGCATACAAGATTCAGCAGTAGTAGCTGGGTGCTGGACCTAGAGAGTGGGGAACAAAGCAGACGGCGGAGACAAATGAATGCCAGCCAACGGAGCCAAGATAGCCCCATTGTAAAGTGAGCAATGGAGAACTAACTATAATGAATTCCCTGAAAACACGGAGAGCTGGAGGCCACGCTTAGGTTATTCGAACTCTGCAAGGGCTCTGAGAGGTCTGCAGAGGGAGCCACAGAATCTCCATCAAGCCAAGCCGAAGGAGTCTGCTTGACTCAGGAGAACTCAGTCTAAGCCTCCTGGGAAAGAATCTGCAGACTTGGGTGGAGCGCTGGCTTTCCGGTTTAGTACAGGGGTGAATCCGTGCTCGTCTGCGGCTCTCTGTTCCCTCCCTGATGAATCCTCTGCGGTGAGTGTCTGCTCAAAACAAGCCCAACTATCGCATTCACTCCAAGGAAGAGTGGAGGAGCTGGGACAGAGATGCTAGCCAAAGCTGAACAGGGAGAGGAGGAAGAGGGCCTCCTGCGTTGCTGTTAGTGACCACATTCGGGATGGGAATCCAAAAATAAATAAATAAAGATTTTGGTGGGGCTGAAAATGAGGAAGGGTCTTTTTTAGTAAAGCTGTAGGGGCCCAAGGCTGCTAAACGTTTTTCGTTGCAACCCCGTACTTGGTTGGCAGTGAAGTCAAGTACTGTCTATGATGACCAGGCCTTTTTTTAGACAGAACTCTCTTCCTCTCGTGCTTCCTTGCCAGATACCCATGGAGCACGGACCTGGGTCCCAATTGGGGGAGAGGAGGACACATTAAACTGAGAGGAGATGGCTTGTGGGACCTTTGGACCCAGTAGCAAAGCCCCAGATAAGCATGTTGCCACCAAATGCCAGAGAAAACCTTCAAATAAAGCCAGATTTTCTTTTTTTCCATTTTTCTTTTTAATCCCCTTTCAACTTTTAAGTCCCTTGCTTTCAGAGATGTTCTCCAACTCTACCTAGCCTGTCTGAGTATGTCACAAAACTCAGTGTTCCACCCCGTTCCTCTATGTCCTGGGCAATTTCTATTCCCAGAATATTGATGTCAATCCACTGAGGATTTTTTCTAATCTTTAATTTATTCTTGGGAAATTGTATACATGGATGTAATATATCTTGATCTTACCTTCCCCTCCAACTCCTCTGGTACTCCCAACATCTTCCTCCCAATATCATGTCCTTCCTTCCTCCCTCCCTCCCTCCCTTCCCCCCCTCTCTCTCTGTCTCCCTCTCTCTCTCTCCTTTCTCCCTTTCTTGTCTTTTATTTCATTTCTTTCCTTTCTTCTTTTTAAATCACCCAGTGAGCCCAGTTAGTGCTGCCCAGGCACACACACGGGTGTGGGGCTGACCCCTTAGGGTCACACCCTTAAAGAAAAGGGACGTCCTTCACCCCAGCAGCCCTTGTCTCTGGATCCTCTCACCAGTTAATATCAAGTGATGTCAAATTCAGTTAAATCAGATCAATTCAAAATAGTCTCTAGTGAATAGGACTATAGTTGAATGATAGTGTGTATTGGTTTAGTACAAAATAGGCCCTGTGTTCAATCTCTGCACCACACACATGTGCACACACACACACACACACACACACACACACACACCTCTCAATGGTCTAACAAGTATGGGGATATTTTTGCATTATTTTCCTGTGACCTATTTCTTAATCATTATTTCATGAAATAAATGCAATCAACTGAAACCCATCCACTGTCACTTCACCTCCAATGCCTGCATCAGAAAACCCCTCCTTACAGAGGTGTGGGCTATCCAAGCAGAGGAAACATTTCCATATTGGAAGGAAGAGGTACTCTGCTATCAGCCGCTCTTTCAGAGCAGTAGGCTTCACAGCACAAAACACATGGGAACTGAAAGCACGTGGGGCTGTAGAACCCTAGTGCTCCATGGCGTAGTCCAACAGCCCGGTCCAGCAGCCCAGGGGAAGAGCCCCACGGAGCCGGAGGGCATAGGGACAGAAGTAGAACGAGGTAGTCCATCTGGCTCTTGGGTCAGCCCTGCATGTCAACACTGCCTCCCTCTGTTCAGGAGGGTAGGCTAAGTGCCCTTGGACCCCCCACAGTTTTCAGGTATCAGCCCTGCTTCCAGATGGGACGCCATGTCAGGTTAAGGAAAACATCATGCTATCGTATCTACTGGTTGCCTAGCCTTATTTATGCAAGGGTCAGTGTGTATGTAATATTTGTTCTCTGACTTAAGAAAACTTGAAAGGAACCTGTTCCATTACTTGTTTTCAGCATGGGCTGATTTCAAAGTCTCGGAGAAGATGTTTTCTCCCTGTTTACCTCCCACACCTGCAAACCAAACTGCCAGTCACTAGCTTCCTTCCTGGGGTTCTCATTAACTGCCAGTCCCTAGCTTCCTTCCTGGGGTTCTTATTAACTGCCAGTCCCTAGCTTCCTTCCTGGGGTTCTCATTACGCATTCATATCTGTCTCTTAGCTTCTACTTGACTGTAATTGTGTGGTCCATGGCAGTTGCTGATTCATTGATTCCCCAGCTTTCCTTGTGTGACCCAGTACGGTTTGGACCTATGAGGACCTGGTGGAAATTCAAAGTCATGTCATCTTACAGAGGACAGTTCCTAGAGCAAAACACCACAAAAGTGGATGTCATCGTGTCAGGCTCCTCTCTGAGACCCCAAAGGAGACTGATTTAGTGCTGAGGGTTAAATGATATGGCTAGAAATACCCCCTTGGAGAAATAAGACAAAAAAGAAATATAGGTGTCTGTCTGTGTCACGACGAAGGCAAACGTGAGAACCACAGATTCAGAGCACTTTCCTGGCTTCTACAATCATCCACACTTGCTTTCTGTCTTTCTTGCAAACATCTTGTTCGAGTTTGAGCTTGCAGAATGGAAGCTGGAGTAGGAATGGTGAAGAATAACAGGGCAAGACTCAACTTGGTTCTATTATCCCCTTGGTTTCCATCCATCACTCCATCCTGTGGGAGTAGGTAAATAGCAAGGGAGAAAATTCTAGAAGTATTGCTAGATATCTCCAAAAGGAAAATTCTTGGAATAGGACCAAGCTTTATCTTGACTCCTTCCCGGGGCTTCTAAAGATGATTTCAGTATAACTTCAGCTTTTATTCTCCTCCAGCTTTTCGTTTATGTGGCATGCAAGGGTCAAAGAGGCCATAGAAAGCTGGGAATCATTGTCTTCTAATTAGCAGATGCCTTAGTGACTGGAATTATATGTTAGGAGCTGGGCCAGAACAGTGCTGGTATGTTAGTTACTGTCAACAGTCCCAAAGCTTGTTTGCAGAACAATAATGATTGCAACGATGTCACCACTGCAGTAAAAGACTCATAAAAATCTTTTGTCCTGTGTCTATTAAATGCCATTTGGCAGTGACTCCCAAATTTGATTTTGGGTGGACTACAAAGTCAAATGTGCCCCCTCCTGAACTCTAAGAAGTGATCAGGATGCGAGGGCTCTGCCGTTACGGAAGGCTTTCAACCAGAAATGGGCTTGTTATGAAAGGCCACGTTCACTCTCTTGTTCTCCCACCTTCTGACATGGGGTAACACATCGAATACCAGTCCCCTCAACAGTAGACTCCCCAGCCTCCAAAGCTATAAGAAAAACTTACCTCAACACTTAAATGTCAAGTCTAACCTCAGCTGCTAAAGGAGGAGAAGTGTAAAAGTTCTGAGACTAAACTTATGCCTCTTTGACTGCTTTAACCATACTTTACCCATGTCAAAAAGGGGCCTTCCCTCAGTCCCTCACTTGACCCACTCCAGCCCAGTCTTGCAGCTGTTTGCTTAAAACTAAGACCATTCTGGTTCCTGTACTAGGCTAGGTCTCAGTGTTCAGTGTGGGGGGTATGACTTCCGGTTTCAGACACTTTCAGAGCTACACATGAACATCTCTCCAAAGGATGCCCTCAGAACCACACATGAACATCTCTCCGAAGGATGCCCTTTGCACTGAGCTGGTGGACTGTGACATCATGCAGGAAGTCAACAATTCATATTGTCTTTCCCTATCGATCCTCCCATGACCCATAGTCTCAGAGCCAGCTCTGGTTATGAGATTGTTTCATTATTCTAAGATGCAAATGTTTTCCCTCTTCTTTGTGTAAGCTTACATCTGCAAACAGATGTGGGGAGATGAGGGGGAAAAGTTCAGTTGTTGGCTTCTGTGCCCTATGCAAAAAGTTCTATCAACAACAGAAAAAAAATGCTTTAAAACTTACCTTCACCCATCCCCTCAATCTTCCAGGGGCCCGCTCCTGGCATCCAGAAGACCCGCACACACAGGAAAGCCATCAGCACTTCCAGACCCCAACCTCCGGCGACCCCAGCTTCAGCTTCAGGAAAGAAGGAGACCAGTGGAGACAGAAAGACCCCACCTGCACCCACTGGAAGAAGAGATGGGAAGAAGACAGAATAAGAGCTCACTCAGCAATAGAAAGACCAACAGGATCCCACCAGAATCTAGAAAACCAATGCCAGCAAGACCTGAAAAGCACTACATAGACGAAGCAGAGAAGACAGACCTTAAAAATTATTTTATGAAGATGAAAGAGACCCTCAAAGAAGAAACAAGGAAATCCCTTAAAGAAATAGAAGAAAAAATAAATTAAAAATACATGAAATGGGGAAAAAAAAGAACCAACAAATTCAAGAAATGAACAAATCTCTCAAAGAATCTAAAGAGTACCAAGAAAAAACAACCAAACAAATGAAGGAAACAACTCAAACAGTTGAAGGATTGAAAGCTGAAATAGAAACAATAAAGAAAACACAGAATGAGGGGATGCTGGAAATAGAAAAGCTGGGTAAATGATCAGGAACTACAGATGCAAGTATCACCAATAGAATAGAGGAGATAGAAGAGAGAATCTCAGGTGTTGAAGACTCATTAGAGGATATACAGTTGTCAACCAAAGAAAATCTCAAAACCAACAAATCCCTAACACAAAATATCCAGGAAACATGAGACACCGTGAAGAAGCCAAACCTGAGAATAATAGGTATAGAAGAAGGTAAAGAAATACAGCTCAAAGGAGCAGAAAATATATTCAACAAAATCATAGAAGAAAACTTCCCTAACCTAAAGAAGGATATGCCTATGAAAATACAAGAATCTTACAAAACACCAAATAGGCTGGACCAGAAAAAGAAGTCACCTCTCCATATAATAATCAAAACACCAAACCTACAGAGTAAAGAGAAAATATTAAGAGCAGCTAAAGAAAAAGGCCAAGTAACATATAAAGGCAGACCTATCCGAATTACATCTGACTTCTCAATGGAAACTATGAAAGCCAGAAGATCTTGGACAGATGTCCTACAAACGCTAAGGGAACAAGGATGCCAGCCCAGACTACTATATCCAGCAAAGCTTTCAATTACAATAGATGGAGAAAACAAAATATTCCATGACAAAGCCAGATTTAAACAATACATATCCATGAATCCAGCTCTATAGAAAGTGCTGGAAGAAAACCTAGACCCAATGAAGATAACTACACTCACAAAGACACAGGCAATAGATAATACCAATTTACCAAACACCAAAAGAAAAAGGGAGGATAAACTACAAACAATAACTCCACAAACAAGAATCATCAGTCAATGGTCATTAATATTCCTCAATGTCAACGGTCTCAACTTGCCTATAAAAAGACATAGACTAGCAGAATGGATACAAAGACAGAACCCATTGTTTTGCTGCCTACCAGAAACACATCTCAATGTTAATGACGGATGTTACCTCAGAGTAAAGGGTTGGGAAAAGATTTTCCAATCAAACGGACCCAAGAAACAAGCTGGTGTAGCAATCCTAATATCTAACAAACTAGACTTCAAATTAAAATCAATCAAAAGAGACGAAGAAGGACATTTCATATTCATCAAAGGAAAAGTCCATCAAGATGAAGTCTCAATTTTGAACATCTATGCCTCAAATACAAAGGCATCCACATTCGTGAAAGAAACATTACTAAAGCTCAACTCAACTAAAGCACATAAAATCCCACACACTAGTAGTAGGAGACTTCAATACTCCGCTCTCACCACTAGACAGGACCTCCAGACAGAAACTTAACAAACAAAGAAAAGAACTAATAGAAGTTATGACCAACTGGGTTTA